AAAATTAGGTACATGTAGCATAACTCATAATATAATACTTGCGGGCTTGTTTGGGTTGGATTAAAATCTGATTTTAATTTAAGTCAAAGTCAAACAATCAATAATAATCATATCTTTTATGGGTCTCACATCTTTTTAACCACACATTTCAAAAATTTCTATCGCAATTCACTAAAAATCTAATTTTAATTCCTATCAAACACCCTCTTAGTTGTTGGGTTAAAAAAATTGAACTTATTCAAATTAATGAGTAATGTTCGGCATGTTTAAACAGTAAATAAACGCAGCTTATATAAATAAAACTAGAAAGGCGATGTTGATGGGTTAAGAATTATGAAATAATTAGTCTAAGACCAGAAGATTTAATTTAAGCACAGAATTTATCTACAACTTATTTGATTTTTCTGATGTAGCCGTATCTAACGTGTTTCTTGAATCTGTTTCAAAGACATCTCTCACTAAAGTTTATGGTGCGCGCGCGTGTGCTATGAGTTATATGGGCATCGGTCAAGGCGATAAATGTTGATGAATGCACGAGATTTGTTCGAAATGGAAACTAGAAAGGCGATAAATCTGTTATACGCACTAATGCTAACAAACTTCGAATATGAGATAGCTCGAGCTTGATGAACAAAATAAGCCCAAGGATAATTAAGAAGGGAGCTTCCTTCGACCTGAAATAAAGGCGGTGAGGTGTGAGCTCATCGTCCTTCCAATGCTTTTAGGAAACATGGAGAGAATATAAACATGAGACTATATGCTAAAGTAGTGTAAATGTATCTCAATAATGAACACATGTTGCATATTTATAATAGTTCATGGTGTAATCCAATAAGTATTAGACGCCTATGGGTACAAGACTTGGAGTCCTTGTGGACCAAAAGTAATAGGACTAGGATGTCATGTAGGGTCGACTTCCCACTTCTCCCATGGTCTTTTGACCAAGTAGAAAATGCCTAGTACAAGGCCCATGTGGACCTCAAGGATAAGAATCCGGGATGGGTCGCTTCTGATTAGAGTGAGCTAGAATCGTTGAGTGTGTTGCATGAGTCAAGGATGGGGAATGATCCCTGGGGAAGGTCTTACCATGACCCCACGGTTAGGTTCCAAGTCGAAGTGATAACATTGGTAGGGGTTTTGAGAAAATGACTTCGAGGATGTTTGTAATGCCCCAAATCTTAAGATTTGGATTCATCACAAGAACGCGCTTCTTAGGTCTTCAAAATTCTGTTGAATTAAATTTCTCTCTTTTTTTTTTTCCCACAAATTACCTTTACATTTTATCACAAGTTCCAACAACCACAGAAATAAATGGGTTTGTTGCAAATAAAGTAGCACATATGAATAACTATTATATCCCTTGCAACCCTGATTCTTTCTTTCTTATAAATATGGTGTTTTAGTTCTTAACAAAATACACGCAAGTCTTTGGACTTTTATAATTTCTTCTCATTTTTTCTCTTTTATAACAGTTATCAGGACTAAGTTTTAGCCAATTGAGTAAGCAAAATTTATTCCTCCTTCTGCTTAGAAATCTCTAGTTAGTTGAGGTAAAAAAAAATTTTTTTTTTCCTTCAATCAAAGAAAGTCAAGAAATTCTAGCTAATTAAATTTACAAAGAAACATCCTTTTTTTGGTTCAAAGAATCTTAACTTTTGAATTGTACAACAAAGTGGCATAATTATTTGATCTTGTCATATCGTTTTGACTATACCAATTTATAATAGATAAATATTTACTTGGATGTAATATTTTTCGTTCAATATTTGAGTATAATATTCCAGAAGAATATTGTATTATTATTCTCGAAGAAGAAACAATTTAAATTAATATTTTAGAACAATATTTTAGCATTGTTTGAAAATATATATTTTATTTGGATTATTTTGTTACTCCTAAAGAAGCATAAATTCACACAATAATAATATTGCATTGTTATTCTTGATATATGTATTATATTCTAAACGAATTTTATGTTAATGTTCTTGGTGAAACATGACTCTATTTAAATAATAATCTATAAAAATATTGCATTAATACGCCTAAAGAAGTATATACATTATACATCTTAAACTTCTAAAGAATATTTTGTTGTTGCTTCCTAAATAAAAGTATAAATAAATATTCTAAAGTAATATTGGATTAATCCTTGTAAAAAAACTTGACTTCATATGCTATGGAAGAGTTTATTATTATTTCGTAATCAATAGTGCAGAGATTCACATAATTTGGATAGCCTGCACAGCTGTGATCAAACCATCAATAACTTAGCTTTTTGTGATTCGATCATTGTGATATTTGAATAGCATGTTCATAACCTATTGTTGTTCAAATCGAATGGTTATGATTAAAATCAAACGGTCTATTCGTGAGAAATCTATGCGTGAACAATAACCAAATTCTTTTAAATTTGTTGTTCAGTATAAGCATATTGTCTCATTTACACAAATTGCATGATTACATTAAATAATTATTCTAATGCATGTATTCACCTATCAATTCCGACTGGTAAACTGTCACGTTTTCTTTAATTGATTGTTATGTATAGATTATAATTATTACATTGTGTATATTCAATGTTTGTATTGGATTTACAATTTATAATTGATTACAACATAAAATATATTATCTGTACATATTTAATTGATATGTTTAATTTGTTGTTGCTCCCTAAAAGCAAATCTTTATACTATTCTAGAATAATATTGCTCCAAAAGAGTATTACATTATAATTTCAATATTTCAGAAGAATATTGACATATTGCTCTTGAAAAAGTACAACTTAATACCTACAAAACTGTA